GCAAGTGACTCTTCAATTGCAATAAAGGAAACAACTCTTTTAAACATTTGTTATTTTTCATCAATCCAGTGTGATGTGATACATAAATAATCTGTTTGTGCTCTAGATGTCCAAATATCAAAAGTTAAAAAAAATTTACAGTTTAAACTTTAAAAATAAGAAATTATTTTTTACTTGTTCATCCTGATAATGTTTTAAATATCACGTTGACAAGTTTGACGAGAAATTTTTTTAAATACGGGGTAAAACCCATCTCTAAATAAATCTTCAAATTCATCATCTTCTACAAATTTAAAAGAAAGATTTTTAAGAATGATAAATTTGATGACGCATTTTCTAGCACGGGTTGCGTCATAATTTTAACTACTGAGACTACTAGAAGATGGGGATTGAGAGATCATAGATTATCTGATATCACCTTGAGGCGTCTGGCCTTTGTTGTGTTTATCTAAATGGCGTTTGAGGTTGTTGGTGCCGCTCGTATGATGAGCTTGGAAAATCTTGCCGCACAACGCACACTTAGCCTTCTGGATGAGTATCCTACCGTGTTCATCCTTGGTGATGTCTATCTTCTCAAAAAATCCACACATCGGATCTCGGCCTTTTAGGAGCTCTTGGTGTAGAATCGTCACCACCGAATCTGAGATTTACATTGCTAGGATCGGTAGGAGTAGCTGTAGTAGGGGGGCTCATTTCAAGATCGGGAGTTAGGTTTTGCTCTTCATAATCAAATCCGGAAGCCATTTGATTGAAAAATTAGAGAGCTAAAGCGATTATTAGAGAGTATAAGAGAGTATAAGAGTGTATAAGAGAGTATTAGAGAGAAGTAGATGAGTTTTGGTGTGAGGTAAATAAATAAAAACCCCCCTCTATTTAAAGAGGCAACTCTCTAGACAAATGACCAAAATACCCTCATTTTGACCGTTTTTGGGCAAAACGACTAAAATAACCGTTATGACCGGGCCGGGCCGCAAAACGGTCACAAATGTGACCATTAATGCCGGGCCGGGCCGGGTTGGTCAAGCCCGACCCGACTTTTTCCCACAACGGTCACCTTAGGTGACCGTTGCGGCCGGGCCAGGCGACGCCTTTCAGGCCCGGATATTTTGCCCGGACAAAAAAAACATTGTTCCGACGCAGGGTCTGTTCCGAGCGACACGATGAGACTCGCAGCCCGCTACCCGTCCCGGTGAACCTGTTTTGTCCCGGCCGTTTCTGGGAAGTGCCCGTGAGGACGAGGCTCCCCAGGGGACCGGCGGGCTAAGCTTGAATTTATGGACAGGCCTATATGGAATAGAATCATTTAAATTGATATTATGTTGCATGGTATGATACACAAAAAATAATAGTCCCACAAAATAATATGAGTGTATGATATTTCAAAAAATAAAATAGTTATGTAGTGAATGACTTGTTAGTTTATGAGATAGTGGGGTTTAGTTACGAAAAAGATTATTGTATACATAGTTCCAAATTTGTCCTTAAAAAATTGTAAATTATCGAAAATTGTGAGTATAATTTCGGGATATGTTTAAATTTTTTCTAAAAGGTGAATTATATAGGGGCAGAACACTAAAAAAAAGCTTTTCTTAGATAATAGTATAAATAGATTATGCCTCACTAATTCTTGATTGATTTTGACTTAGTCCCTCAAATCATTAGAGTTGCTCATTTGGTCCATTAATGCTTCCTTAAGTTCTTTTGAAACTAGCACCTCTAACCAAGAATAGAAGTAGCCGTTAGAGGGTAATTAGTAACTAATTATCATTGAAATTGATATTTGATATACAAATTGTTTCCAGCTAATCCCTCTAATCCCTATTTTTACTCTTGATTAGAAGGAAAACTTTTAAAATACCCTAAGAATTGAGAGATCTAATAGCAATTTCAATGATTTGAGGGACTAATTCAAAATTTAAAATGCTTCAGCGACTAAGGGCCAGTTTGGTATTGCTTTTTCATGATGTTTCAGCTTAGTTTTATCAAGAAGCACCCAATAATGTTGTTTGATGAAAATACTTTTTACATGCTTATTGACACTGCTTCCGCTAAGGATGTGCTCTTAGAAGCAATTTGGGGATGGTTTTAAAAGCAGCTTGTGCTTTTTTAGTTTATAAATACTATATATACCTTTTATCTATTAACAATAATTATCAAGCACACTTTACCAAACACCTTAATTACTTTTTAAGCATTTTTGATATTTGATTATTAAGCTGTTATTTTCAGTAACTTATAAATGGTATTTCTATAAGTTGCTTTTATAAGCAACTTATTATAACCTTTAGCAACACTAGACTGGCCCTAATATTAGGGAAAAACCATTAGTTTTTTTTGACTACTTACGATATTAGTTCATCATATCTTTAATATTTGTGAGATTAATCTCCTAAATCATTAAATTTGCTATTAAGTCCCAAAATCATATAAGTTGTTTAAAATTAATGGGTACTTTACAAATCCACCTCATAAATTGACACCCATTTGAAAGTTATCCTCCATATCTGATGATTTGAGAAACTACCTCCAATTCTATGGAAGTCACTCTAAAAATATTCTGTTGGGAAATATTTTCAACTTGTTTTCTTTTTCAGCTATCACATATGGACAACGCGTTTGAACTTTTTACCCTTATAGTTTCATTTTGGCAGACAGACCTTATGAGTAAAATCTTTTTGTATTTTTTACCCCTGAAAGTTAAAAAAACACTTTAGGAGTTTATCTGCCAAAACAAAACTACATAAATAATAAGTTCAAAAACGACATACTATAGTGGCACATGATGTTTAAAATGAAACTACAGGAGCAACAAAAGTTCAGAATGCCACGCTAAGAGTCCAAGAACACACAATTTTTTTATTGCATTTTCTATGCATCTTACGATATTATGACTACAATACACTCGTACAGATGGCTAGAGTTAACAGGTTAATTAATTAACCTAATAAATCTCTATTAATCATCTCTTCCTAATCTTAGAGATAAACTAATTAACAATAATCACCTTTAGAGAAACACCAAACACTAAATAATTCTGCACTCAATAAACTAAATACATCTAATCACCGGCTTCTTATTCTACACTCTCAGAAATATCATAGCAATCTCTCTATCTTGAATGTTAATATTTTATATAATCAAGCAAATTGATGAAAAACTAATAGACCTACTTAAGAGCTTCTGCCACTCAATATTTATGTAGCAATTCTCTGCTTTAGATACTAAGAGGGTTTGCACATGAAAAACTGTGGTCAATGCCTTTTTCTAATTATAAATTAAACCTTGAAGTTAAAGGAGATTTTCTGATAACCCCTAAACTTAAGGGTGATTTTCTGCTATTTTGAAAGTTTTGAGAGGTCATTTGATAATCAGCCAAGTCAAGGATTTTTTCCGATATTTAACTAATTATTTATGTAGATATGCCTACATGTTGGGATGGTGAACTATCAAATCAAATTAAATTCTAAGATGTTCAAATTTGTATTTGTTTAAAATTATCGAATTGGAACCCGAGTTTGAATGTTTATATCTGGAGATTTTCGAATTTAAACTCAAATACTTGATATTTGATAAATATTCATAAATATTTATTAACATTTATCAGATATCAAAGTAAATTCATTCCGCTAAAGAATTTAATTTTAAAATAGTACTTAAATTCATAAATGAAAATTATTCCTTTATAACATATGATGTACATTTATTTAATTCAAAATTTTCATTAGAAAATGATTTAAGAATAGTTAAATCTCAAAACTAGTATATAAAACTTAAGTAAAAATGGTAAGTGGGTTGAAAATATTGCATCTTGTGTGGAATAATACAAATTAGAAGTGATCAAAAGTTATGTGAATATTGGATAAGTAAATGAATCGAATATACATCCAGTTAAATTCTATTCATTAATGAACTCGAACATTAAAAATTATTAGTTTAGTATTAAATGAACTACCAAATCAAATACAACTGAATAGTTACTCGAACAATTAAGGGGTTGCTTGGTTCATAGATTACATTTTGATGCATGTCACAGATCTTGAAAAATGATACTTAAAATATTATTTGTTTTAGATGGATATTGAAGAGAATTTGCATGAAGTGCGCAATCCAACAAAATTCAATGTTTGGTTGCACTTGAATTTTACTGAGGACATTATTGTAGAACATCCCAATCTTGTTTGTTTGGACATGCATTTTGATGAGATTTTATGGATATAAGAACTATTGATATACTTACCTCCCATAAAAGTACGTAAAGTTATTTTTTAACATACAAGAGGTATTCTTACTTTTACAATTTGTAATAAAATAATAATAAGAAGTCATGCTAAGACTCATAAAAAAGCGTAACAGTCAATATTTGAGAAATGCATTTCTTCTACTATAGAAAAATAATAAATAATGTTTAGAAAAAATTCAAAATGATCTAAAAGGTTACAAGTTCCAGTAGTAGAAATTAGTTACAGACTCTCTATAACTCACAAAAATAGATAAAGGCACAATCAATCCAAACACAGAAAGAAGAAACCTCAATGAGCTATACACACTTGATCTCATCAACTCAATGTAGTACTGGTGTTTTCCTTTACAAGTATATATAAACACTGTGAACTTGAATCGAACCTCCTCTACTCCAGAACAGAGCCAGTGAAATCAACTTCACCGGCTCCACGCTTGTCTGAAAAAATTATATTAGCATCTAAACACCCATTGAAAACTGTATATTTCAGCCATCCTACTACTTTAAAAAAGTGAGGATAGATGTTAAACTGGCCTTCACTCCAAAATATATAATTACTTAAATAAATTGAGTAATTGGCAAGGACTCCTTAGATGACAAGCTGAACCAATACCTGCAAGAAAAATTTTCATTCAATCTCTTCCGTATGAATAAATAATATTCAAAGATATAAAAAATAGTAAAATTAATTACTAGATCAACATTTGCAAAGATCAAATCATTATAACACTACCACTAGAAAGTATGAATTCAGTCGTCACTATGCTGCAAAAAAGCAAAAAAAAAAAAGAAAAAAAAGAAAAAAAAGAAAAAAAAGAAAAGAAAAAAGAGTCTAGAAAAATTCATAATTATGAATTGATAACTAAAATAAAAAAGTGGCTGCTAGGATCAATCATTTGCAAAGAAACACTAACGACCCATAAAAAATACATAATGAAAATCAAACAAATAGAGATGGCATCTAACAACAACAGTCAACTTAAAAAAAAGGTAATTGTTCTACCTGACAATTTCTTTGAAGATAACAAACTAAAAAAACTACTCATAACAGCCGTGAAACATATTTTCTCTAAGCAATTAAGAAGAAAAGAAACTAATACTTTGTAAGCAAATAAATGCTTCAAAACTCATCCAAATGAATTATATATTGCACAGGAGGCATTGGCATCATTTGCCAAGTCTTCGACATCCTTGGAATGCACTACTAAGAACCATAGCCGCGTGTATATATGCTTCTCAATCCAGACAATTTGAGAACGAAGAGGTTTCCACGATGGAGAACCTAGCTCCATCCTCATTCTTAGCATGACCCAATACCAGCTGATTAGAGAACCCGTCAAGTGCATACAAGCATTTGGACAGTTTTTCCAATCCAACGAAGGAGATGAGCGTTTCGAATCGAACAAGTCATAGCTAGCGCCAACCTTGCATGTCTATTATGATTATAAGCATGCTCGATCCCCCACTGAAGCTCTCGTTGAATTTTTCATTCAACACGGTTGCGATAGTGTTGAAAGCTTCCTTTTTCGAAATCCTTTACCAACCTTTCTTCCCGTTATAGCTTATTTAGCCAAGAAGGGAATCATGAAGAAGTTCGCTCACCAGGAACACTCAAAGAACACGTACACACGTGATCTACAGATTGAAGGAGCAGATTGAGAAGAAAGAGACGCACTAAAAAAAATTTATTAAAAGAAGAAAACTCAACTACAAACCAGCGTACAACCTGATGTTTAAATAGCTAACAAGAATAACAACTCAAATCAACAACCTAACAAACTCCTAATGATAAATCACAACTGCTAACAATCTCCTAATGACTCCAACAAACACGTACGTCAGGATTATTTTCCAACATACTCCCCCCTAATCTTGACATGGGGACTCCAGGTTTCTAACGCCAAGTAGCTCGCACATTTCTCCAAATTTTACTCTGGCAAGTGCTTTGGTCATGATATCAGCATGTTGCTCGTTTGTGCTCACATGCCTAACGACGATAAGTTCCTTTTCAACGCACTCGCGGATGAAGTGAAAACGCGTGTCGATGTGCTTGCTCCTCCCATGGAACACCGGATTCTTCATCAATGCAATTGCTGATTTGTTGTCGACGTAGAGGGTGATTGGTTTAGGATCTCGTCCGGTTACTTCGCTCAACAATGCCCTCAGCCATATGCCTTGGCAAGCTGCTACTGTGTGTGGCTGCCATAAACTCGGCTTCACATGATGATAACGCCACGCTCTTCTGCTTCTGCGATGCCCAAGATATCACATTCCCACAGAAGTAAAATGCCAATCCGCTTGTGCTCTTCCTGTCATCAACATCACCGGCGAGATTGCTGTCGCTGTACCCGACTAGGTTCTCATCTCCTCCCCTAGTATAACACAGGCCAAAGTTGATACTCCCCTTCACATACCTCAGTATCTGCTTGACAACTTGGAGATATGAACTTTGTGGCCTCTCCATATATCTGCTCACCATCCCGACAACGTAGGCCAGATCCGGTCGGGTGTGAAGCAAATATCTTAGGCTTCCAATCAGACGCATGTACTCAGTTGGGTTCACAGGCTCGCCTCCTTCTTCTTTTCTAAGCTCCAGCTTGGGCTCCATCGGGCATTTTGTGGGATTGCAATCACTCATACCTGCTAGCTCCAGTATTTTCTTGGAGTATGAGGCTTGCTTCAGTGAGATGCAATGATTCCTTTGCTCCACTTCAATGCCCAAATAGTATGAAAGATGTCCTAAGTCACTCATCTCAAGCTCTCTCATCATCTGCTGCTTAAATTGCCTGATCTCTCGTGCACTAGTACCAGTAACAATTAGGTCATCCACATAGACACCGATCACAAAGAGTTTCTGCATCTTTGTTTCCCCTGTAGACCGCCTGTTCTTGTGGACATTTCTCGAAACTGAGGCTCTTCAGACTCTTATCCAGCCGCATGTTCCACGCTCTAGGTGCTTGCCGTAGCCCGTAGAGTGCCTTAGATAATTTGTACACCTTGTCTTCTTGATTCTTCTTGATGTACCCCTCCGGCTGGCACACATACAGCCTTAGATAATTTGTACACCTTGTCTTCTTGATTCTTCTTGATGTACCCCTCCGGCTGGCACACATACACTTCTTCTTGGAGGTCGCCATTCAACTTCTTGATTCTTCTTGATGTACCCCTCCGGCTGGCACACATACACTTCTTCTTGGAGGTCGCCATTCAGAAAGGCTGACTTGACATCTATATGGTGAACCTCCCAACCTCGTTGAGCTGCAAGAGAGAGTAATAACCTCACAGTCTCCATCCTTGTCACTGGCGCAAAGACCTCCTCGACGTCAATGCCTTGTTGCTGCACGTACCCCTTTGCGAAGAGTCTCACCTTGTGCCTTCACCACATTTCCTTCCGAGTCCTTCTTGAGCTTGTACAGCCACTTGACTCCAATGGGCTTGTGTCCTGGTGGCAACTCGGTCAAGGACCAAGTCTTGTTCTTCTCGATGACATCAATTTCTTGTTGCATCACCACCAGCCACTGTTTCTCTTTAGCAGCCTCGCAGTACGTCACCGGTTCCTCGGCGGCGAGAAGGAATAGCTCGTGCTCACACTCGACCTCCTTGGTTTCAGCATAAATTTCCATTAGATCTCGGGGAAGCGCTTGGTGAAGTCGTCGGTGTCGTTGGAGTTGCCGCGCTCGGCTGATCCACATTGCCGCCACCTGCGACGTCGTGGTCTGGAGTAGTCACCGTAGGTGCAAGTATGTGTGAATTTGGCACCATGGGTGGGGAAACGGCCTCCTCCCGCTCGTGCTCTGGCTGGCATGATTCATCTCCTTTCTCAACAGTGAATGTTATCCAGCTTTCTGGATCATCGCTGAGATTGCTTCATCCCACTCCCATCTCTTCTCTTCATCAAACACAACATCTCTGCTCACATACAATTTGTTGCGCCGTGGATCGTATACACAGTGAGCTTTACTCCCGGCTTCCACACCAAGATACACCATGGGAGTGCTTCTATCGTCGAGCTTCTTCGAGAACACACTTGGCACCTTGACATATGCAGTGTACCCGAAAACCCTCAGGTGCTCCAGATGAGGCTTCCTGCTAGTCCACACCTCATAAGGGGTTGTGGTAGCCAAGGCTTTCATCGGTACTCGATTGAGTATGTAGACAGCATGCCTCACTGCCTCCCCCCATAGCTTTGCAGGCACACACATGCTCTTTAGTAAGCTCCTTGCCATCTCTAGGACAGTACGATTTCTTCGTTCAACAACGCCCTTTTTTGTGGTGTGTAGGGTGCTGTCAAGTGCCGCTGGATTCCTTCTTCTTCACACAGAGTCATGAACTGTTGAGACAAGAACTCACCACCACGATAAGTTCTCAACACCTTTATCTTGTGCTCAACCTCCTTCTAAATCAATGTCTTGAACTTCTTGAACGCCCCAAATGCTTCACTCTTCAGCTTGATCATATACACCCACATCATCCGGCTGTAGTCGTCAACAAAGAGGAGGAAATATCTATTGTCGGCGGGTGTCTCTGGAGTTATCGGTCCACACAAATCTGCGTGTACCAATTGTAGCGGGTGTTTGGCTCTGAAGTTCGCCTGGGAGAGGAAGGCATTCCTCGCTTACTTGGCCACAAGACATCCCTCGTACATCTACGTAGGATGATCGATCTTAGGGACGCTGTGTGCCATCTCTCGATCCCCCATCATCTTGAGTGCCTGTAAGCTTACGTGCCCTAGCCTCGCATGCCACAACCAAGCTGGATCCTCCATGCTTGCTGTCAAACAAATAGGTTCATAAATTTCCAACAAAACTTTGTAGAGCCTGTTTGGGGATCTCTTGACCTTGATCAACAGTCTCCCATTCCTGTCATATATCCACAGAAATGCTCCACACATAATAGCCCTACTGCCATCTTTAGAGAGCTGGCCAAGACTTATAATATTGCTACAAAGACTCGGTATAAAATATACCTCCGGTAGTAGTCGTTGTTCGCCGTTCTTGCATTGAAAAATGATGGACCCCTTCCCTTTGATTTGCACCATCGAGCCATCGCCAAACTTCACCCGCCCGTGAATGCTCTCATCCAGGTGCTTGAACATGGACGGCTGGCCTGTCATGTGGTTGTTGGCCCCATTGTCCAGGTACCACATGTCAGACTCGGCTGACGCCTTCTCATCTGTCTGCAGCTTCGGAATACCCTTCTCCTCGTTCAACAGTACCATGTTGCGTGTGCCCCCCGTGCACTCAGACAAGAGTAGTGCTGGATCATCATCTTGAACAAGGGTGAGATTGGTCTCCTCATCCCGGTGCTTACTGCGACACTCCGAGGCATAGTGCCCGAAGTTGTTGCAGTTGAAGCACTTGATCGTGCTCTTGTCTAGATCTCCTTCATGACCTCCGTTTTTTCCCTGGCGAGTACTGGTGCCACTGCTATGACCTCCATTGCTGCGGCCACGGCCACGGCCATGGCCACGACCGTGTGAGTTACCACAACCACGCCCGCAGTTGTTTTGAGAATATGATTCCTCTCCCCGTGATAACTTCGTGTCGGGTTTAGGATCCCCTCTTATTAGTAACGCCTGTTCATGCCAGCCGTTGTAGTCACGATAGAGTTCTTCATGCGCCTTTAAAGCACCAATTACCTCATCCACCTGCATGGTCTTGAGATTGCCGAACTACTCCATAGTCGTGGCAATCTACAAGAACTTTGGTGGCACACAGTGGAGAAGTTTCTTCACCACATGGCTCTCCTCCATTGTCTCCCTAAGAGAACGGATCTGTTTCACAAGGGTAGTGAGTTTCGTAGCGAACTCATCCACCGACTGCGCATCGCCCATGTGCAGATTCTCAAACTCTCACCGAAGTGCCTGGAGTTTGACTTCTTTCACACGTTCCACACCAACGTGCATGGTTCTGAGTGCCTCCCAGGCCTCACGGGCAGTCTCCTTGCCTGTGAGTTGAAGCATCGTCTCCTCCGAGATCGCCTGGTAGATGACGGCGAGCGCCATCTGATCCTTCTTCTCGTCCACCGATTCACCATCATCGGTGGCCTTGACTGCCGCCCAAACCCCTTGGGCGCGCATGTTGGCCTTCATCTTCATTACCCACGCCGGGTAATTCGACTATGATAGCATCGGGTACTTGAGGGTTACAGAGCCCTCTCTTGTCGTAGCTTGCGACGTTGCCGTGTCGGTGAGCTCCTCACTCCCGCTCTGGGATTTGCTTGGCGACGACATTTGCTTTGGCATACCAATGCTTTGATACCACTTGAAGAAGTTCGCTCACCAGGAACACTCAAAGAACACGTACACACATGATCTACAGATTGAAGGAGCAGATTGAGAAGAAAGAGACGCACTAAAAAAATTTATTAAAAGAAGAAAACTCAACTACAAACCAGTGTACAACCTGATGTTTAAATAGCTAACAAGAATAACAACTCAAATCAACCTAACAAACTCCTAATGATAAATCACAACTGCTAACAATCTCCTAATGACTCCAACAAACACGTACGTCAGGATTATTTCCCAACAAATCAAAAAGCCATCTTTCTCTTCACCCCATTTCTTATTTGGGACCTCCACTGACTCCGCTCCCATCCTTGCCAGCTTTCTTAATTAGAACTATTTTCTTTGTGCCTTCTTGATTTGGAGCTCAACTTCTGTATCATTGGGAAATCCATAGGAGCAGAATCAATGGGAAATCCGTAGGTACGTACCTCTGCCTCTTGGCATAACTGGTGATCTCAGCAAGAATTGCAAAAGGGGATCTTTCATCATATTTTAAGCCGTCACCCAAGTTAGATCGAGGATCAGAATGAGGATATCTAGTGGGAGTGACACCCAGTAGCGGAGCGAGGAATTTTAGCAACGGGGCTAAAAACCAAAAGAGGGGGAAAAGAAATAAAAATAAAAATAAAGCGCAAACCAGAACGAGATCCGGTTAAAGATGAGAGTTAATTAGGAGGTTGAGGGAATGTAGGTGGATTAGGAGGTTGAGATCTGATTAGGTCTTTGTGGATGAGAACAAAGAGAACCCTCATGAAAAACATAAATTACTTGCACTAGTAGAAAAATGAGCATTGGCGACGAGGAAATCCGTCGTCAATGCAGCAAAATCCGTCACCAATATACTTTCGCGACGGAGCGGAGTCCGTCATCAATAATCCTGTCGCCAATAGACATTGGCGACGGGGAAATCCGTCGCTAATGTATTGTCGACGGAAAACATTAGCGACGGGTAATGGCCGTGTATTCCCGTCGCCAATGTACATTGGCGACGGGTAATGCCCGTCGCCAATGTACATAATCAGGTAAAAAAATTATTTCTGCATTGCAAAGCCCCCCAATCCGGAATGCGTACTTGTTACTACCATTATTCACAATATATTGAACAATACTCACAATATCACATTTATCGATTCACATCCAACAATATTCACGTTCAACGATTCACATCCAACAATATTCACATTCACATCCAACAATATTAACATTTACATTCATCGATTCACATCCAACAATATTAACATTTAACAATTCACATATATACATAATCAGGAGGTCATAATATGTTCAACACAATCCAAAAGTCCACATAATCAGGAGGTCATAATATGTTCAACACAATCCAAAAGTCCACAAAAGTTACCAAAAAGTCTAACTCACTACTCACTCACTCATCATAGTCGTGGTCCCTATCGTCGTGATCCCTATCATCAGTGGCGGCTGCATCAGAATGCCGTACCGTACTGCTGCTTCCTACGACGGTACCTCCTCTAGACTAAAAAGAATGTAAATCAATATGAGAATATATTCCAAAATAGTCATAATAAATACATATATATAATATGACATATATACCTCTCCACCACTTGCAGCTGCATACTCATCAAATGCCAACACCATAATATCCGCGTATATAGACTGCGAAAGCAAGTCCTTTAAGGGTTGAGAATCAATGAGTCGCTGAACGACATCCCAAGTCGTTTGTGCACCACTTAACTCGTGCTTAATAGTGGGAAGAAAACTTAAAGCCAATGGAATTTCAACATTCTTCATCAAGTATTTTCCAATCTTACCCACGACAAATGACGTGTCACAGTGTCGCGTCGAGGTCACAGATTGGCTGCTAGGCTTATTGGTGGTGGTGAGTGTCTTAACTCTAGTACTTGACAGAGGCACTCTTCCTTTCTTTCTTGAGTGTAAACCGTTAACTTGTTATTCACCTAAAATTAATATATAACACATTATTGTGTTATATATCACACTACTACTTTTTTAAAATAATAAGGATACTTATTTGGGTAATTACCATTATGAAAATATATCATATTATTTGAGGTGCATGCTGAAGCGAAAGTAAAGGAGGAGACATTGTCCTCAATATTCAATAACCATGTAGAACATGAGGTCTAATTTAGGCAGCAATAACATAGGAAATCAGTAGGAAAAGAAAATGAGGTCTAATTTAGGAACAAAATACTCCTCAATATTCAATAACCATGTAGAACAGAATAATTTATTAAAAAAATTGAAAATACCTCTCTAAGCGGCTGGTCGAGGGCGACGGGTTGGCTGGTCGAGGGCGGCGTGCGGCGGCGGGTCGTCGAGGGCGCCGTGCGGTCGAGGGAGGCACTTATTTAGAGTTAATGATTAGATTATTTCAAAATTAGTCCCTCAAATCTTCAATATTTCAAAATTAGTATGATTGGCTATCTTCAATATTTCAAAATTACTCTTCAAAATTACTCACTCAAATCATGGAAATTTCTATTACATCCCTCAAATCATCATAATATTTACTATTAGGTCCCCTGGTTAACACCGGTTATATTTAAAGAAATATTCTTTTAAATCTAACTATTATTACTAGTTTCCCTTGACTTTTAATTATAAAAAGTTAACCCGTTTGGACCTAGTTGATAAGTTCTGGTATGATAAGTTAACCCGTTTCAAAATTAGTCCGATTGGCTATCTTCAATATTTCAAAATTACTCACTCAAATCATGGAAATTTCTATTACATCCCTCAAATCATCACAATATTTACTATTAGGTCCCTGGTTAACACCGATTATATTTAAAGAAATATTCTTTTAAATCTAACTATTATTACTAGTTTCCTTGACTTTTAATTTATGTATAACAAACCATATTGTTAATTATTATAGCATTAGTATCGGGGTAGAATACCTAGGAATAACTTTTCTCAGACAATAGCAATATATGCGTCTTAAACAATAATAGTAGATGTGTTTCATGAGCCTAGAGGTAGGGGTGGAAGTGAACCACATAATCAATTAACTGTTTAGTTATTATTCATCTAGCTATTCGATCAAATTTGATTCGCTATCTCATTTAACAATAAATGAATAGCTATTAGTTATTAAACTCATAAACAAATAGAAATTAACCAAATATGTATTCGATTTTCTTGGTCATTAAATCTTCGTTCAATTTGAGACATAATCTTAAATGGAAAAGACAATTTAGAGGGGGAAATTAGTAAAATGATGCTTGGGGGGGGGTATTTACAAATATATACAATGCTTGGGTATATATGTAAAAATTTCAAAAAAAAAGAAAGTAGTGGCGATCCAAGAGTTCGAACACAGGACCTGTTATATCATATTCGCTCGAACTCAATTTTGACGGCTCTTTCTCCTCTTAACCTTATAAAAAACTCCAAGAGAACTCTATCCAAACTATTTTCATCCGGTTTTTAGTGATTAAATCTAATTTATCTCCTCTCAGATTTATTAATGATGTTTACAGGCTCAAGTCCATCCGTGAAAACTACCAAGAGTAGTGGAGTTCATCGAATCTACTAGCATAAAGAATAAAAATAAATAAATTTTAAAACTAACATAGAATTCCTAATTAATTAAAAATATTTTAACATAAGAATCTGATAACATATGTATCTTTCCATCGCAAATGTTTGTATTGGCGATGGATTTCAAATTTGTCGTCAATACCCCGTCATTAATGCTCAGTTTTCTACCTGTTAGTGGTTATCTTTAGATTGATTTTCTTGAAAGTATAAAAATATGACTAGAAAACCACCCTCTTATATTGCTCATTAATTCCACTAATTTTTGAACAAGCAAGAGGTATTTTCACTAATTCCATTCATTTATTAACAAGAAAACTACTAGATTCATTCTACAAGCAAATTCAAATTCAGGAAGAATATATCACTTCTCCCTGAAGAAGGGACATGCCTCCAGTGACAAAGTTGCGGCTACAGCCTCCTCGACGATGACGCTAGAGGGGAGCAGAGGGCCCTTGAGAAGGCCACCAAACAACTGTCCTGGATCATTGTAGACTTTCACGTCCTCACCTCTCAAGCTATCATCTACCTGCGTAGAACAAAATAGTATTAGACTACATTTAAAATATTATAGATTTGAGGGACTAATATTAAAATAATTCTTAATTTTTTGTGGGGCCACTCATTAACAATGGGATAATCAATTACTAATGTTAATTTTTTACGATGGCGACGGACATTGGCGACGGATTCGATTCGTCGCCAATAAGTATTGGCGATGTATTCGAATTCGTCGCCAATAAGTATTAGCGACGGAACATTGGTGACGGATCGAATCCGTCGCCAATACTTATTGGCGACGGATCGAATTTGTCGCCAATGTGTATTGGCGACGGATCGAATCTGTCGCCAATAAGTATTGGCGACGAAACATTGGTGACGGATCACATCCGTCGCCAATACTTATTGGCGACAGATTCGATCCGTCCCCAATACTTAGTGGCGAAAAATTTGATCCGTCGCCAATAAGTATTGGCGACGAAACATTAGTGACGGATCAATTCCGTCGCTAATACGTATTGGCGACGCATCATTTCCGTCGCCAATACTTATTGGCGACGGATAGAATCTGTCGCTAATAAGTATTGGCGACGGAACATTGGCGACGGATCTATTCCGTCGCCAATATGCCCAATGTTTTTCCGTCGCCTAAGGTTATGGGCGACGGAAAACATTGGCGACGGATTGAAATCCGTCGCCAATACAAACATTGGCGACGGGAACAACCCCGTCGCCAATGTTCCGTCGCCAATACCCCGCTGCCAATACTTAGTTTTCTACTAGTGTTGGGGATTTGTTCGTGATCTATTCATAAGTCAAGAGAGGAAAAGAGGAGTTTTGAGAAAGTCTGAATTTTATCTCTATGATTTATAAAATCACTATTAACTAATTACCCAATGATTCTTTCTATTTTTGGCAATTTTTATAAGACCCCTCTAATCATGCATAATTGCTAAACTAGCCCTCAACAATTAGGATTCGCACAACTATCCCCAGATCATCAACTATAAAGAAAATACCCCTAGATCAACAAAATCATTTATTTTGATATGCTAATATAAAATTGCAATGTTATGAATATCTAAAAAGACTCGAATATTTACTCATCATCTTCATTAAAGTTAATGAGTTGTTGATTGGGGTTTTTTTTTCAGCCCCCAAGTTGATGATTTACAAATAGTTTTGAAACTATTGAGACCTATTGGTACTTTCGCAAATGTGCATGATGTGTGAGGTATTAAAAAATAAAATAGATTGGACATCACTGTTATTTTCAAGAACTAGTAGCTCTAGTATCATGTTTTTCCTCTTTATTAGGAAAATTGAGTTTAAGATGTTCAATACACTAGCAACTGAGTAGTGATAAGTGTATTACACTTTCTTTACTATTTTGGCACAACTACACAAAGGAGTGAGGCTATGATGAGTCATCAATAAAATTTTTAAGTGAAGCATTCACTACTTTGTGAGTAGTAGTGTACACTTATTATTTTTCCTAGCAATTTCAAGAATAGTGAACATCTTAGCACATAGAATAGGCTCTTAGCTATTTTTAGTACTTCCTAGCTCACCTGCTTCCTTCCCTCCAATATTTTTGTAGCATCTAGCTATGTGCTTTTGTAGGCTTAGGTTGCCATTAGGTTGTGTGGTTGTCTTTGTAAACTTAGTTATATCACCATCCTACCCGCAAAAGGACTTTAAACTTTCATATATATATATATATATATATATATATATGCTCCCAGATATGAGAGCATTATCAGTTAATTATTTTTGGAAAGCTAATATGCTTTAACCGGTAATATATGTAATTCATGATCAATTTACATGAATAAGGGCATCTCCAACCTAGCCTCATTTTGGTGCAAACAGTGCTTTTTGTTGCATTGTTCCTTCTCCAATCCAGCCCCATTTTCTGCTCCATTTTGGTGCAAATGAACAGTGCTGCACCAAATATGACGTCGCACTGTTCATTCGCCCTATTACTGTTCACTTTTTTTAAAATTTTTTAAATATTTGTTTTTACCTCTCAATTAATATAAAAATAGATAAAAGGGAATAAAGTGAGAATATACCGAGAATATTCTTTTTTGGTGCAAAAAATGGTGCAATGGGTTGGAGATGTATTACTGTTTGATGTGACTTTTGCACCATTTTGATGTAAAATTTGCACAATTTTGGTGCAATGGGTTGGAGATGGGTAGTGCAAGCACAATTGCAAGTGCATTTGCAAGGTGGATAACATCTTAACCCAATTAATAAAAAGATAAAATTTTGTAAGAAAATAACACAACATCAACCCATTCAGTAGACAAAATACTAACAATAAAAAATTTAAACAATAGTGAAAAAAATAAATTTTAAAAAATAATCTCAAAGATCCATTAAATTAACTTCATAATGGCAATCTGATACGAAATACAGAAATGAACACAGTATTGCATACTCATATACTGCACACGTCTCAAGGAAATCCATCTCTGAAACATTGTCAAGGGAAAGCAAATAATTAGCAATATAAAATTTAACTCATTTAGTACTACCACATATTATTAAACCAAGTTCACTTTTATAAGGACAAATGAGCTCATACATAGAATAAGAAACATACTACAATTTAATAGTAAAGGAGCAAGAGGAACAAATATTTAATTCCGTACATTCTAGTCTCATTATCTCCTCCGTGAAATTTTATAGAGTAATCTACCCACATATCCCACCCTAACTGGTCCCTCTTTTGTTTCAATTCCTCCCTTGCTTCATATTATTCTCTAGAGGTCAAATTTTGAGAAAAATCCAGTATAGGATCATTATCGGTAGTAACTATCTCCTCATTTTTATCGTCTATCGTCTCATTAAGATCATTCGGATCTGAAATTGCTATGTAATTATGTAAGACAGTGCATGCAAGAATGATGTTTACTAGTGTAGATAAGAGATGATGGGGTTTTTCCGTTAAAAGTTTAAAGCATTTCTTTAAAACTCCAAAAATTGCTTCAATTTTAGTTCGGAGAGAGGAGTTTTGAAGATTTAACAATTCCTGATGATTATCTGGATCCTACCAGAATGCTCTTCCAAGTGATATCTTACTCCACGATAAGGAGAAATGAAACCATGCATAGTGATATATCAGGCATAACATAAGTAATATTTACCTACACAGATATTTAGATGTCAAAATTATCCATTTCATCCTA